ACATTAATTAATTACAAATGAAAAGAAGGGTCAGGTACCAGGCTCACATCTGTAATACCAGCTACACAGCCCAGGCAGTGAAGTCTATGAGACTTTTATCTGCAGTTAAGCACCAAAAAAAACAGAAGCAGAGCTATGGCTCAAGTAGTAGAGTACCTTCAGTGAAAGAGCTCAGTGTAGCACCAGGCTCTGAGTTTAAGCCCTAGTACTGGCACATAGAAAAAGAGAGGAAGGAAGGAAGGAAGGAAAGAAGGAAGGAAGGAAGGAAGGAAGGAAGGAAGGAAGGAAGGAAGGAAGGAAGGAAGGAAGGAAGGAAGGAAGGAAGGGAGAGAGGGAGAGAGGGAGGGAGGGAGGGAGGGAGGGAGGGAGGGAGGGAGGGAGGGAGATAAAAGAAGGATAGGAGGGAGGGAGCAAGAGAAAGAGATAGAGAAAGAGAAAGAGAAAGAGGGAGGCGGGAGGAAAAGGTCAGGGAGGGAGGGAAAGGAAGGGTAGGAGTCAGCCAGCCAGGCCAGGAATTGAATTTGTTCACTGAGAGATGCTTACAGTATGTCTGTGCTCTGCTACATTTAGCTCTGCTGGAAAGGCGAAGTTGGTGTGAATAGTTTGGAGAGCCTGTTCCCTGTAACCCATCTTGATTGGGCTACACTGCCTCATTCCTCTGCAGGTGAGAGGAACAGTTCTCAGAAGTCAAATGCCTGGTGACAGCATGAAGTAATGAAAAGAACATAGAGACTTTGGATCTGGTACAAATCAGTTTCTCCGCCTGCTGGCTGCATGTTAAATCCAGGAGAAGACCGTTACAAGCTGATCTATCTCCACAGCTCTCTTTCCCCATCAGCTTTGGAAGCCACCTATACTAGATATCATAGTTTAAAAAGTAAATCCATGTCTTACTGTCTGCAAGAGAGTTATGCAGGAGAGCTACCAGACCAACACTGAACTTAGTATGAGAGTGACATCACCTTCTTCTAGATGGGGAGTAGTACATTACTGCAGCCCATGATAACTTATCCTAACAGAGGCTGAGGATGACAACTGTGCTGGACCATGCTCATGACCATTCAGTCACAGGTGAACATCAAATACCAAACATCAAGCACAGTGCCTGGAAAGCAAAATATACTCTATACACCTTTCTTAATCCTTCATACTTTCAAATTTTGCATTTTCTGAAGGCCAGATCATGACCCAAGAACAAGTTGGGACCTAACCATGGAACTCTGGAGAGAAAAAAAAAAAAAAAGATGAGAAAGTGGTGCTGTGGCTCAAGCGGCAGAGCGCTCGCTTTGAGCTGAAGAGCTCAAAGCACCCAGGCCCAGAGTTAAAGCCCCATGACCAACACAAACAAACAAAAAAAGATGAAGATATACATAGCTTCATCAAGAGGCCTCTGCCACCCTCTCAAAGTAATACAGACACTTCCCAGCACCGAAATCCAATTCATCATCGTTTCCTCTGGTGTGCAGGTGGGGGAAATACAGAAATACATTTCCTGGCACATTATTTTAAACATCTGTTTTTGGTGTTGTGTAGCCAGAGGACTTGCAAATACTGACTCCAAAACATTACACAGGATTTTGAGTGAGGCTTTGATGGTAACTCCCCCAAAATGAGGTGCTCTATTTCATTAACCATCTCAGCTTCCTGTGACCCAAGGCTCTCAGATGTTACAGACCAGTTCTGTGTATTACAGAAGTTGAGGCCGACAGGCACTTGTGGCTCACACCTGTAATCCTAGTTACATTCAGGAGGCTGAGCTCTGGAGGATAGAAGTTCAAAGACAGCGTAGGCAGAAAAATCTTCCAAAATCCATCTCTACTTAACTAGCAAAACTGCCGAGCTGGATGTGTGGTTGAAGTGGTAGAGCACCAGCTCTGAGCAAGCAAGCTGAGTTTGAGGTTCAAGCCCAATGATAGGTAAAACGTTAAGGACCAGAGCAAGAAGAGCTTGCCCCAGGTAACATGCCAGGAGTGGCTAAATGCCATCATTGCCCCTCCCCTTAAAGCCCTTCCTTCCCATCATGAGCCATTCATGACTGTCATCCTTCTACCCATTCATCTCTTCTTTAGGCCACCTGCCTCATTCAGATTCCTGGATGGAATCTGCCCAAAATAACCAGGAAAATCATATTGGTAAAGATTTCTGGTGTCCACTTCCCTCTGATTTCTATGGGTGGTGTCTGTTGGTTTAATGTAGTTATTAAAAGTCAGCCTTACTTTGGCAATCAGACAGAAAGCTATAATCACCACAGGCATTTCCGAGAGACCTTTAAATGAATATCATTAATTTTGAATAAAGCTCTCCTTCCCGTCTCTTTCTAATTATAGTCGTCACATTCCTATTTTATGTTAAAAATTCCTCTACCATTTAATTTTTTTTTAAAGCCTGCTTTTTAAAGTGCATGTGCTTGTCTGGTAGCCTAAGTACCTGGGTTAATTTTCTGAAATCAAAACTAATAGCAACTAGACCTTTTCCCTGTCCATTCCACTCTTTGGCACCCCTTACCCAGCCCATGTATTATATTTTAAATTGGGGTGTGTGCAACAAATCAAAGAAAGTTCGGACAAATGGGATTGCATGAAACTTCAGAGCTTCTGCATAGCAAACAACATAGCTAGCAAGATCAATAGAAAGCCTACGGATTGGGAGAAGATCTTCACTAGCCATACAACAGACAAGGGTCTCATCTCTAAAATTACTTGGAACTCAAAAAATTAAATTCTCCCAACAAGAAATTCTCAAAGAAACAACTGCCCGATAAATAAGTGGGCTATAAACTTAAAGAGAAACTTATCTGATGAGGAAATAAGAACGGCCAATAGACACATGAAGAAATGCTCAACTTCTGTAGCCATAAAAGAAAAGCAAGTCAAAACAACAATGAGATTCCACCTGACCCCAGTTAGAATGGCTATAATCAGGAACTCTAATAACAACAGATGCGGGAGGGGATGTGGCCAAAAGGGAACCCCAAGACAGGCACATAAGTGGTTTTTTTTCTTCCTTGCTATTGTTTTTAACGTACTTATAATGTACTATTTTTTTTGTTTCTTTTGCATGTTCTTTCCCCATGTTATAAACCCTGTTTTCCCTGTATTTGATTCTGGTGCCCTGCATCTTGTATATACACTTTTCTAATTTTGGGAGGGGAAAGAAAAAAAGAAAATGCTTAAATAGGGATACAGGTTGACCCATTGTAACAATGATATGTACAAAACACTATGTTGAAAACGAACTTTACAACTTGTGGGAAGGGGGGAGTTGGGGAGGTGGGGAGGGAAGGGATGGTAGGGGAAAAAACAAAGGAGGGGGTAACAATGCTCATTAGGAAATGTACTCATTACCTTACTCATGTAACTGTAACCCCTCTGTACAATATTTTTTACAATAAATAACGTATTTTTTTTTTAAATTGGGGGCTGGGAAGGTGGCTCAGTGGTAGAGTGCTTGCCTTGCATGCACAAGGCCCTGGGCTTGATTCCTCAGCACCACATAAGCAGAAAAAGCTAGAAGTGGCACTGTGGCTGAAGTGGTAGAGTGCTAGCCTTGAGCAGAAGAGCTGAGGGACAGTGCTCAGGCCCAGAGTTCAAGCGCCACGACCAAAAAAAAAAAAATTGGGGTGTGTGAAATAAATCCGTCTGTGCTCTAGAATGGGAGGTTACTGCTTGGAACACCTGACTCCCAAAAAGCAAAGTCTGGATCTCCAGGATAAGGTGGTAGCTGAACATAGCTTAGATACCGGCCTAAAGGTAGAAAGCTCCACAGAGAATATCAGCGACCTTACAAATGCAACTCCTTAATTCATTACATGTCCAATGGAAGCTTCCACTCCTTATACAATGCCCGTCAATACCCTATTAATTTTTCTCTAGCCAACTTCTTCACCCAACTTCTTAGCCAGATACTATGTCAGGTGTCCTACATTGCTCATCTGGTAGGATCTTCACCAAAGGCTGTATGAAGTAAGAATTCACTTGTTTAAAAAAGAAATAAAGCACAGGTAAATTAAGCAGCAGATGTCTCAAGCTGGGATTGTAACCTACTCTTTTTACTTTTCTCCAAAATCACTAAAGGATATCCTCACCATTGAGATAACCAAATGAAAATGACAGAGTACTGGCGGGGGGAGGGAGGGGGTGTCTGGGGCGTGAACTCAGGGGCCTAGGCACTGGCCTGAGCTTTCGTGCTCTAGGCTAGCTAGTGCTCGCTTGAACTCTACCACTTGAACCACAGCTTCACTCTGGCCTTTTCTTTTTAATAGCTAACTGTAGATAAGAGTCTCATGGACTTTCCTGCTGGGCTGGCTTCGAACCATGGACCCCAGATCTCAGCCTCTTGGGTAACTAGGATTACAGGAGCAAGCCACCAGCGCCCAGTGACACTTTGGATTTTTGTTTGTTTGTTTTAATCTTCCCTGTTTTCTTTGACCGGGGAAGCAGCAGGTAGAGTTGTTGATTCACCAGACTGCAGGGAATGGAATAGGGTCGGATGGAGACAAACTAATAATACAGGTCAGAGGAATTTCCTCATCTACATCAAGTCTAATTCCAGCCAATCACAGTCCTGCAAGGTCCGGCTTCGGCAGAACCCAACAGTGGGTGTTTCCAGGCCTGATTTGAACCCAAGTCGGACGGGCCAGGACGGCAGGGAGAACGCGGTGGGCTGGATGCGCCCCCAGCATTGTGGAGAAAGGCTGCGCCCGCAAACAATATGTCCTGTGTGTGGTTCAGCCCTCGCGTGCGGGTGACGAATCCTATTCCGCGGCACACACCCCACGCAGGTGGCAACCCTCGGCTGGCCCACCAGACGTGCGCCATGGACAGACCGGTCCATGAGCTCTTCGGAAAAGCAGATGGCAAATTCTCCTGGCGCCCGGGCTGCTGCGCAGGCGACCGCGGACAAGCTTCCGCCCGCTCTCCCTTCCCCTAGACTTTCTCCTCCCCGATAGGGTCCCGGGTCCACCCTGATCCCCACCCGCAGTAACACAGCGGGACCCTCACCTGCCCCGCGGCGGCGGCCGTGGGCCAAGGCAGCACCCGGCGGCGGCGGCGACCGAAGCGGAATTTGGCCGCCTTGTAGATCTTCCAGTAGACAAACAACACCACGCCAAGCGGCAGGTAGAAGGCGCCGCAGGTGGAGAAGACGGCGTAGGAGGGCTCCTGGCTCACCTGGCACCGCTGGAGCCGGGCGTCGTACGCCTCGCCCCAGCCGAAGAGCAGCGGCGCGAGCGCGATGAGCGCCGCCAGCGCCCAGGTGAGCGCGATCATGAGCGCCGAGGCGCGGCGCCGGGTGCGCAGCGAGTACTGCAGGTGGCGCGTGATGGTCCAGTAGCGGTCCAGCGCGATGGCCGCCACGTTCCAGATGCTGGCGGTGCAGCACAGCACATCGAAGGAGGTCCACACGTGGCACAGGCTTCGGCCCAGATGCCACCGCCTCCCCGCCGACAGCTCGCTCACCAGACTCAGCGGCATCACCACGGCTGCCACCAGCACGTCCGAGATGGCCGTCGAGGCCACCAGGTTGTGCGGCACGCGATGGAAGGTGCGGACGCGCAGGATGGTGACCAGGACCAGCAGGTTCCACAGGAACGTGGCGGCGATCAGCAGCGCCAGCAGCGTCACCACCAGCACGGTGAAGACCGAGAACGCGGGTGCGCGGCCAGGCGGGACGGCACCGCCCTGGGACAGCCCCGCCACCCCGTCCGGGCCCCCGCCGTGGAGCTCAGGTTCCAGGGGAACTGTGGTGGCCGCCGAGAGGTTAGCGGCTTCCATGGCGCGCGCGGGCTCGGGCCCTGGACCCCGCAGGTGGACACGTAGGCGGGGGAGGGAGGGGGGCACTGTGTGCCCCGAAGATCTGAAAGATCTGGAAGATCAGAAACGGGTCTAGGTCGCTCGGCCCGGGTTCCTCTGTTGGGCTGCAGTCGCTCTCCGGCGCATCCTCTATTTCCCAATAAAGGAAAGGAAAGAGGGAGCGGGAGGGAGAGCGCAGGATTCTTCCAGTGCAGCCCCACGGGGCGCGCAGTCCCCAGGGGGAGCGGACCGCAGGCCGGCGTGGCCCCAGGGCCCGCACGGGGGCGGGGCTTGCAGCGTTGCCCCACCCCCTCCCCCTGCAGCGGTGGGAGCTGCGGGACTCCGGGTCTGCGCTTGGGAGAGCTGCGGGGCAGGGCGCCTTGGGGAACGCAACGCGGTCAGCCGGGCCCGCAGCTCAGGCCCCCGCGGGTCTCCCCGTCTCCGCGGACGGAGAGGATGGCAGTGCACTCCAGAAATCCTGGAGGGATTTCCTAACCGCCACCTCTGCAGGTCCCTGTGGCCGGCGGGCCAGCCCCGGGCAGGTACTGAGGGCATCCAGCCCCACCTCGTCCCGGACAGAGTGAGTGCTGGTAATTTTCCCCGTTCCAAGTTGTCTGTCTGCCAAGTGGCAGATCCCGGTGTTGGAGTTTGTAAATGGCAAACTCCCTCCATCTGGCTCCATCCCTGCCGGTTCTGAGCACTTCTGCCCGAACGCTCCACCTGGGAAGCTCACTCCCAGGGAAAGAGAAAGAAAAGGAAAGAAAGACAGAAAGAAAGACAGACAGACAGAAAGAAAGAAAGACAGACAGAAAGAAAGAAAGAAAGGAAGGAAGGAAGGAAGGAGAAAAAAGAGAAAGAAAAAAGAAAGAAAGAAAGGAGAGAGAAAAAGAAAGAAAGAAAGAAAGGAAGGAAGGAGAAAAAAGAGAAAGAGAGAAAAAAGAAAGAAAGAAAGGAGAGAGAAAGAGAGAAAGGAGAGAAAGAGAGAGAAAAAAAGAGAGCGAGAAAGAAAGAGAAAGGGGAGGGAGAGAGGGAGGGAGGGAGGGAAAGGAAAGAAGGAGCATTTAGGCAGAGAGCTGGAGACCGAGGTAGTGCCAACCTCTGCACCAGCTCCAGTCTCACCCCCAACACACCCAACTTCCCCAACACACCCAACTTCCCACCATCCCACCCTCCCCCCACGCCCCCACCCCCACCCCCACGCACTGGAAGACTAAGTCTTCCAAGTTGGGAGAGGTGAGGTGTGGGTGTTGTTTCTGCCCTGCAGAGGACATAAACTCGGCCTCTGGCATGCTAAGATCGGAGGGTGGAGTACTCACTCTACGACTGAGCTACGCCCCCAACCCAGGAGTGATGGATTTATTTGCTTTTCAATAACTGCTTCTGGTTTTATTTTTAGAATTATCATGAAGTAGTTGTACAAAGGGGTTTCAGTTCAACGTATCCGTTTTTGAGCACGATGCACCCTGATCAGCATGTCCCCTCTTGCTTCATTCTCCATGTCTCCCAAACCTACCCTTCCCCTTCAGTTACCCAGTTCCATGTTCACATATGCACACTGAATATTACAACTGTATTGGTCCCCTAGTTATTTTTATAGACCCTCGAGCAAAGGGAGAAAACCTTCAATGAGTCTCCTCACCCTCTATCAACCCTCTTCTACCAAAAAAACAGTTTCAGACTTTTGTTTTGTACCAGTCCTTAGCCTTGAACACCGACCCTGAGTGATGTCCCTGAGCGTTTTTGCTCAAAGCTAGCATTTTAGTATTTGAGCCACCGTTCCACTTTTGGCTTTTTTTGGGAGGAGGGGGGACCTGATTAAAAAGAGATAAGAATGTCCTGGACTTTCTTGCCCAGTCTGGCTTTGAACCACAAACCTCAGATCTCAGCCTCCTGAGTTGCTAGGATTACAGTCATGAGTCCCTAACACCCAGCTTCAGACTTTATAACCACATCATGAAATCAGTCAGTCAAAACCACCAGTGCCCTGCAATTATCTCCATTTTTGAAGTTGAGAAAATTGTCTGAGATTGAGTTGTCAAAAGTCTAGAAGTTATAAACAGTATAAATAAAAAGTGCAACTATGAAGAGAATATATAGTAACGTGAAGTGTTAAGAGAAATTCGCCCAATAAAATCTAGTTTTAGGCATGAAAAATCTATATAGAGGAACTAGAACAGAGAAAAAAAGCACATTGTGAATTCAACTGGTGCAATATGAACATTTGTATGTTTTAATAATTTTACTCTTATTTTTAGGATTGTTCAAAAATAGGGTATGGTTATGAAAACATTGCAAAATCTGATCTCTATTTTCTTCTTTGTTTTTATCATTTAAAAAAAATTTAATTGTCAAGGTGATGTACAGAGTGGTTACAGTTACATACATAAGGTAATGAGTACATTTCTTGTTGAACTTGTTACCTCCTCTCTCATTTTTCTTCCAATTCCCCCTCCCTCCCCCCCAAGTTGTAAAGTTCATTTCCAACATATTGTCTTGTGAGTATTACTGTCGCCTTGGTTCACCCCTTGTCCTTTGTTTCACCATTTTATTGTACCCCTTCCCTTCCCCAAATCTGATAAATATATACAAATTGTCAAATACAGTGACAATAGGGGATAAAACAAAGGGGGAAAATGAAAGATAAAAGAAATAACTTCACACAGTACATTAAAAACAATAACAAAGAAAAACTTCTGGTTTTCATATCTTGGAGTTCTTTTTAATTAGCATCATGTTATATGGTCATATGTACGTAGCTATTGAGCTATTGTGACCCTCTGCTAGGACTATCTGAGACATACAGTAATTAGTACAAATGAAGAAACCCATGCAGAATATGTTTCTTTGGGTCTGGCTTACTTCACTTAATATGATTTTTCCATGTCTTTCCATTTCCTTACAAATGGGATGATGTCATTCTTTCTGATGGAAGCATAGAATTCCATTGTGTATCTATGCCACATTTTCTTGATCCATTCATCTACAGAGGAGCATCTAGGTTGGTTCCATGGCTTAGCTATGATAAATAATGCTGCAATAACATGTTTGTGCATCCCTATTCTTACAAACTGAGTGTAGACCTCAGATTGTTCTCTTCTGATCTACTTTAAAGATTGTGGTTTTGCATAGTTTTAATTTCTCAAATAGTTGATTCAACTAAATAGTTTTTCCCACACACACTTCCAGTCAAACTTACTAGCAACCTGTTCAAGAGCCATTCTCAATTGCAGATAAAAAAAATATATATATATATAAAGTTTTGCCAACTTGATGCGATGGATTGAATTGCATACTCTTCCCTGAAAGTCGTATGTTGAAGTCCTGATCCCCAATGTGACTATATTTAGAGATAAGGCCCATAAGGGGGTGATAAATTTAAATGAGGTCCAGAGAGGAGCCTAATCCAGTGGGCAGAGTGAAGAAGTACTGGAAAGCTCACTCTTTCTACCATGTGAAGATGCAGCAGAAAGGCTTCTGTCTATAAGGCAGGAAGACAGCCCTTTTACGAACCAGAATCACTTGACACCTTGAACCAGAACTGTCAGAAATATCTATTGTTTAATGAGCAATGGATCCCATCAGTGGTATTTGTGACAGCAGCTCAAGTTGACTAATACACTTGCTTAGAGAGATAGTAGGACTCAGATCTGACTTCCAATTCTGTTTGTCCCTGGCATTCCAATTCTGTTTGCCCTCCATACATTGAACTAGGGGTTCAGTATAATTGTTTTAATAGTTTTATGTCAAAAGTCTACATGCTTGTCTTTTAGAAGAGTTTATTTTGCCGTGCTTACACATCTTCTTGGACTTATATCCCCTCATGTTTGATTGCTCTCCTCCTGGTGACTGCAATGGAGCCACACTGCCCTCCTGCTGCCTTGAATGTGACATGGGTGTCTCCTTCTCGAGCCTGTGTGTATTTTTCCCTCTGCCTGGATGCTCTTCCAGGCATGGTTGATCTACTGGTTTCATCTGGGTCTTTGCTCCCCTGTCCCATGCCAGATATGTCTTCCTTGCCAATTGGGTCTGTCCATGGGCACTTTCTCTTCCCCTACTCTGTTTTCTGGTACTTTACATCATCTCACAGGAGTGATAACATATTATTTAATTGCTTTCCTTTTCTCTGCCTTCCCCACTAAAACATTAGCTGTTCTTGTGCAGGAAATTTGTTCCCTGCCATATTAGCATCCTGCTCTATGCCAGGTGCACAGTTGGTGATTTAACCCATTCAAATGAGTTCATTGAGTGAATACATTAGGGGTTGTTGGGAGAGGAGACCCATATGCCTGAGTATCCTTTGCATATCCTGGTGAGGCGCATCAGCACTGCTAATTAACCCAGCCTTTCTCAGAGCCCGGTTTGTGGAAAGCCTTAATGGATGCGGTGGCTTCTTCTTCTGGGAAGTGGGAAAGTCTACTGTTGAAGTGTATTTGGTGCTCTCCTCCCAGGATGCAGCCTGCTGCTGGGTAGGATTTCAGCATGGACCTTTTTTACTATTCACAGACCTTAGGAAACATGGGGATAAGATACACAGACATGAAGCTCAGGCTATAGCTTTTGGCCATAGTAACTTTGTCTCAGTCCAAGGAATATCGTATCTTCTGCCATTATCTAGGAAACAGGAGCAAGACAGCTTGTCAGCTTGCAATGGGGCAAAAATCACAAACCCTAAACAGTATTTGACAGGCCTCCTGTTTATTGATTTTTTAAATTTTTAATTAGTAGAGTCTTTCTCTTTGGGGCTTATTTCCTTGATACATTTTCTTCCAAATTTAATAACAGTTAAAATGTATTATTCTCTTTGCCTATTTCCAAATTGTACCTCTGAGAGATTTCCTGGTTCCACTGTTCTCTTAACTCTGGCTTTGAAAAGACAAGAGGGAGAGACTGACAGCCTTGATGAAAAAATTATCATTGTAAAAAGTTCTTAATGTGTATAGAATGATATATTTTAATTGTTTTAATTTGAAAATCTCTAATGGCTAAGAGGACTGCATTTTTACGCAAAGTGCTTTGTTATCTATGTATTCCTTTGTAGCATTGTTTGTCTACTTTATTTTTTGC